AAGGGGACCTCCTTGTCCTCTAACTGAAATTTTGCGAAGTTACCTTTACCTTTGTGGATTACAAATACCTTCTAATGAAGGTTGATCGCGCCACCGTTTAAATTTAAAGTGGAATTGAACTAAAAATATTATGCTGAAAGGTAGGGTTTTTATGGCAGAAGAAAACGAACTCTTCTGAAAAAAGCCACACTCCACCCTTGACTCCACTTGTCGTATTTATTAGTTGTCAACAAAATGACTGCATAAAGCATTGTCTTCACCTGGGACCCAATCTTCCTTAATGTATTTCACCACTCCTGCTGGCTCAAATGGATTCCCCTTTTCTTAGCTGTACAATCTGTTAGTGGTACCCAAGTCGATCGATGGATTGACTTGGGTACAATCAGCCTGCCTATAAATGGATCGAATCTCATCCGGTCTCTGCTGAACCAGCCGAATTTTGATCCATGTATGGTCAGCTTAAAGCTGGCCATAGATGGGTAGAATCTGGAATGAACATTCTTATGTAAAGAATGTTCTAAGAAAGTTCATTCGTTTTTCTAATTCTTAGTCAAATGGACTTTAATTTTCGACCCCAGTGACAAGAAAGTCAAAGGAGCAGGATAGAAACATTTTCTGGAGCAAATGAATAACTAACAGTGTTTGTGGTTTCTGTTCAGTAAAGCTCATTCATTCCAAAATCAAATGTTAAAAGCGAATTTAATCTTTCAAACAATATTTGAATGTTGTGAGAATTTTTGTGACTTTTCCTAATACTTTTTGCTCAAAATTCTATACATCTATGGCCAGCTTAACACAATATGGAATCAAGCTCCTGGGGGCCCCACCACCGGCAGACTATGTGGCAGGTTTACCAATAGGCTAGTGGTTGGATGGGGTCTAGTGGTGTGTAGTTAGGACTTGGACACAAGCGTATTTTTTAGCAAGAGTTTCTCTTTAGCCCATCCAGTATAGATCAGTGATCACACACTGAGATAAGCAGACTAACAATGGGGAATGTGTTCTAGCAATTAATGGAGGTGCTCATCATTCTGCTGTGTGTGTTTGTACTGGAGAGAGTAAACATGTTATAAATCAAGTGAGTGTCAGACTGTGGTTTTGCAGAATTATAATGTAAATGTTTAATGCTCTAACAATGATGCGCACTGATTAGCTGGGAGAACAGAGGAATTCAGAGCACGATGAACGCTGCACATGACCACAAGAATGACTTACTCTATCTCTGTTCTTGTATACATTTTTACGGCAACCACTGGAAATCCTACTAAGACTGGGAACTACAGGCCTGCGTGAGCTCGTGTTTTACGTTAGAAGAACAAAAACAGCCCTACAGAACAAGCCATTTCATTATAAATATTGACCCTTCCTGATTTCAGGGATATCTAACTCCAGGTTTGCTGATTTGAACCTGCTGGGGATAGCCCTGGTTTTAGACGGAATTTAGCCCTTAAAGCGGAACTTCACTCTCTCAATCAGCATGGACTATTTCTAATCCTTATGCTGCTATCATTAGAAAATAGATAGGAAAGTATATCATATTTACTTGTTTTAACCTTTTTTTTTTTTTGCATTCCCTTATTTACTTCCTGGTTTCCATGCCTAGGCAAATGATGTCATGCATCCCAGGAGTCTTCAGGAGGGGAGGGAAGGTTCTCAGCTCAGCCGATGACTGAGCTAAGGACAGATGGATTCCAGGAAGAAAATGCTACTTGAATTATCTGCCCTTACTCAAGATGGCCACTGCCAGAATTGCCAGGAGGTGTTTTTCCAAATGATTTCTCAGCAAAATAAAGCATTGAGACATGGATGGATAGAGAAGTTTGTTTTGAGTATTCAAAATGAATTATATAGCATTTTTGGTTTGTGGTACTCATATGCAGTGCAGTTCCACTTTAACTAGAAAACTTGCAATGAAGATAGATTTTTTTATTGCAGAAGGGACACTCTTTAGAATGTAGTTGCTCCTCCACACAACAATAGCATTGGTAGCTAAGATCGGTAGCTACCGACCATCATCCTCGGGGACTTCAACATCCCCATCAACGACCACACCCCAGCTACCTCTCAACTCCTCCACCTAACCACCTCCTTCGCGCTCACACAACACACTCAATCCTCCACCCACATCAATGGGAACACCCTGGACCTCGTCTTCTCCCACCTCTGTACCCTTAACCACTTCACTAACACCCCCCCCTTCCCTCTCTCCGACCACCACCTCCTCACGTTCTCCATCTCCCCTTCCCCTAACTCCCCCCCCCCAGTGCGCCAAACCATCACCAGCCGCAACCTCCGCAACCTGCACCCGGCCCCCCTCCACTCGGCTGCCGACCGCTTGCACGACAGCATCCTTCCACTGTCATGTCCTGACCTAGCCACCACCGCGTACAACGACTCACTATCAGCCACCCTAGACTCTCTGGCACCCCTAACCACACGCAACATCAAACCCAGACCGCTCCAACCATGGCAGAACGACCACACTAAATGCCTCAAACGTCGCAGTCGTGCGCTGGAGAGACTATGGCGCAAAACCAGGTCCCCTCATGCATTCTCCCTCTACAAATCTTCCTTTCTCACCTACACCTCCTCCCTCCACGCCGCCAAGCAGGCCTACTTCGTTGACCTGATCAACACCCTCTCAAACTGCCCTCGCCGACTCTTCTCCACCTTCAACTCCCTGCTCTCTCCCCCCCCTCCTCCACTCAGTACCTCACTTACCGCCCACGAGATTGCCACTCATCTCCATAGCAAGATTGACGCAATCCGCAAGGACATAGTCAACTTGCAGTCTACCTCCCCATCTAGCCTCCCCCCTTCCATCACCCTCTCATCTCTCCCCTCCTCTGACCTTGCAACGGCACTGCCCCCCACCACACCCAAGGCCCTGCCTACCGTAACCCCCCCATCACTGCACTCCTTCAGCCCTACTACCACTGAGGAAGTCACCAGAGTCTTCTCAGAAGCCCGCCTCACTACCTGCCCCCTGGACCCTATCCCCTCTCAACTCCTCCGGTCACCCCCCTCTTCCCTCATCCGCTCCCTTACCCACATCTTCAATCTCTCCCTCGCTACTGGCATCTTCCCCTCCCCCCTAAAACATGCGCACATCACCCCCATACTCAAAAAAGCCCTCCCTGGACCCCACTGACCTCAACAACCTCAGACCAATTTCCCTGCTGCCACTCATGTCCAAGCTCCTTGAGCGCTTGGTCTACGATCGCCTAAGCGCCCACCTAACTGACAACAACCTCCTTGACCCACTACAGTCCGGCTTCCGTCCCCTACACTCCACCGAAACTGCCCTCCTCAAAATCACCAACGATCTACTAACCGCCAAAGCCAAAGGCGACTACTCTGTCCTCCTCCTCCTAGACCTCTCTGCGGCTTTTGACACAGTCGACCACCCCCTCCTCCTTAATAAACTACTCTCCCTTGGCATCAGAGACTCCGCTCTCTCTTGGTTCTCGTCCTATCTATCCCAACGCTCCTTCAGCATTTCCTACAACGGCGCCACCTCCTCTTCCCTCCCCCTCTCTGTTGGGGTCCCCCAGGGCTCTGTCCTTGGACCCCTTCTCTTCTCCATCTACACCTCCTCCCTTGGCAAACTCATACACTCCCACGGCTTCAACTACCACCTCTATGCTGATGATACTCAAATCTACCTATCCACCCCTCACCTCACCCCCACATTCTCCGCCCGCATCACTCACCTCCTAAACGACATCTCTGACTGGATGTCGCTCCATTTCCTCAAACTCAACCTCTCCAAAACCGAGCTTCTCGTCTTTCCCCCTTCCCGTGCCCCCCCCCCCCATCCTTTCCATCACTACCAACAACACCACCATCAATCCCGCCCAGCAAGCCAAGGTCCTTGGCGTCATTCTGGACTCAAACCTTTCCTTCCAACCTCATGTCAAATCACTCACAAATACATGCAGGCTCCACCTTCGCAACATCGCCAAAATACGCTCCTTCCTTACCCCAGACACCACTAAACTACTCGTTCACTCCCTGATTATCTCACGCCTGGACTACTGCAACTCCCTCCTCATCGGCCTACCCCAGTGCAAACTCTCCCCGCTTCAGACCATCCTGAACTCAGCTGCCAGACTCATCCACCTCACCAGCCGCTCCACCTCTGCCACCCCCCCTCTGCCTCTCCCTCCACTGGCTCCCCATTGCCCAACGCATTAAATTCAAACTGCTCACTCTGACCTATAAAGCCATTCACAACACTGCCCCTAACTACCTCACCGACCTGATTCCCAAGTACCACCCTACCCGTACCCTTCGCTCTTCACAGGACCTCCTTCTATCTTGCTCCCTGGTCTCCTCCTCCCACGCACGACTGCAAGACTTCTCCAGGTCCTCCCCCATCCTCTGGAACTCACTACCCCAATCCATCAGACTGTCACCTTCCCTCCTCACCTTCAGGCGCTCCCTGAAAACCCACCTCTTCAGGGAAGCCTACCCCACCCTCACCTAACAGCCGCTGCCCTTCCCTCCTCCTACCACTCCATCCCCCACAGCCATTTCCTCCTGTACCTCTACCCCCTCCCTCCTAGATTGTAAGCTCAAAAGAGTAGGGCCCTCTTACCCCTTGTGTGCTGTTTGATGTTACTGTACTGTTTCATGTATTGTCCCCCCCTATTGTACAGCGCTGAGCAAACCCTTTGGCGCTATATAAACTCGATAAATAAATAAATAAATAAATAAATAAATAAATAAGATGCTCATCAGCAATGGTTACTGAGGTGTACAGCACAGGAGCGGACTGACAACTCATGGGGCCCCCGGGCAATAGGGGATCATGGGGCCCCTGTGTCCTTGCCCAAACTCAAAAAAGCATATGAAAAAGGTACCAGGGGCATTTCATGGGGCCCCCTACTGACCCTCGGGCCTCGGGCAGTGCCCGAGTTTCCAAATGGTCAGTCCGCCCCTGGTACAGCAGCAGCATTGGTTGGTAGGACACACATCAGCAGGTTGATAGGACACACATCAACATTGGTTGCGAAGATGCACAGCAGCATTAGTTGCTAAGACAGAGTGGCATTGGTTGCTAAGATGCACAGCTGCATTGGTTCCTAAGACACACAGTGGAATTGATTGCTAAGATACACAACAGCATTGATTGCTGAGACACACAGCAGAATTGATTACTAAGAAACATATCAGCACTGGTTGCTAAGATGGACAGCAGCAAAAGTTGCTAAGATGCAAAGCAGCACTGGTTGCTAAAGCAGGCTTACATTATACCTCTTTCTTCGTTCAACCAGATGGTTGAAGGAAAAAAAAATTAGCGGATTCCTCGATCCACATGTTTGAAGTGGATGGATGTAGTGCTACTGTACTATGACGGTGGGGAGCTTTCCCCGTCGTCAGAACACAATAATCAGTGCTGTCAGCTATAGCTGGTGGCACTGATCATTCAGAAATCATACAAAAACACCCGACAGGGTGGTTGTACAGAAGTCAATTGATTGACTTCTGTACAACCAGGGTACCCATACATGGATTGAATTTTGATCCATGTATAGCCGGCGTTAGACACACCACAGCTTTGGTTGTTAGGACACGCAGCAGCATTGTTTGCTAAGGCACTGTGTAACCAACAGCATCATAACAACCAATGACTCATCCCCATCCCTAATCAGCTGCCAGCTGGAGGATTCCTGTCATTTTCCAAATATGACCATTGCCGTATTCGGTGAACGGCATTACCACCTTCCCCGCCCATTTGTTTACATTTAGCTGTCAGAATCTTGAAGGGCATGTAAATCTGGCAGGTTTACTGTCAGCTGTCAAGTCGAAGTGTTCAGAAGGCTGTACAGCCACCTGATTCCTTCCACAGACCCTCCGTAATATGCCCTGCCACAGGACCACCTACCCCATGTTGGGTGTCACTGAGCAGAGGGGTGTCGCTAGCTAGAATGAACATGGAAGCAATCAGATAATAAGATCAAAGTGTGTAAGACCATTACTGGGCATCTCATACCAAGCAATCAGATTTAATCTAGACACTTTAAATGACAGAAAAAGAATGTTTGATGAAAGTTGAAATTTACAGAAAGGAAATGCCCGGTATACAAAGATTCCACATGTGGGATGGTATCAGTTTCTATTACACAACATAGTGTTACACAGAACTACATGGTGAGCCGCTGCCACTATATATGAAAATATTTATCTCTCAACAATTGCTTCTTCTCTTTATTGCTGGTGTCATTTTCACTTTAATTTTGGTTTTGTGGTTTCCCAAGTGAAACTTTATCTGCTTAAAGTCAACCTAACAAGGAACTTATTTTATTTTTTCTCTTTGGTCTGTTAAACATGTAACTGAATGTGTTTTGTTATACTTGTTAGATAATGCAAAACAATACCATTTGATCCTGCCAGAAATGCAGGGAGAATGTTACGTCCAGTGCACTTTGTCGTGTTATCTAAAACGGTCTTATCAGCCTTGGTCAGTGAATTACAGAACACCCACCCCTATGTTATGTAGATGAGAAGAGGGGGAGGTGTTCTATAACATTCAACATCGTTTGAATAGGCTGCTTTAAGGTAATGCATGCTAAAAAGCTCATTTGGCAAATAAATGGGATGCCAAGGTGTGGGTAGGCTCTCAGTAAATGTGTAACTAAATTAAAAAAACAAAAATTACTTAAATGTTTCAAGTTTCAGTTCTCCATTGTTTTCATTCTGCTTTATTAAAATTATGTGTACATACTGTATCTGCATTAATTTTCCTTAAGCCGTGTCTACAATTCATTCTGCTCTTTCTATACCTCCCTTTGTAGTCACACATTCAGATAAACTGAGCATGTAAGTGATGGCAAGTGATGAGCCTGAGTGAAAGAACACATCCCTGGCAACCCTTTAGACAAGCATATTCCTCCTTTCTGGACACAGGGTGTTGCAGCCTTTAACTGTACTGTGCTACTCAGTTGCTTGATTGTTGTTCCAAAAGCAGGTCTAAGATTGTAAGAAAGCAACTGAGAGGCAGATTCCATAGCTAAAATCTACACCAGCCTTTTTCAGGCAAAGTGCCTAGGCGCTCTGTGGTGCCTTCTGGATTCTTCAGGGTTGCCTTGGAAAAATGCCAACAGTTGACGCAGATTGCCCAAAAAATATGTTTTACAAGCCAGTGAGGGGATTAAGGCTGCCTTCTTGCTACTGTAGCACCTTCCTAGTTAGGCCACTAGCTAGGATAGGTAAATGTAATTATTTTAGCTCTACTGTATTCAGTTGAGGAGCTTGTGATTGTTTTGAGTTGTTCTGTCTGTCACTGGTTGCAGGTTTGACTGCTTCCCCTTGCCTTCTGGAGGGTTCTGAAATGTAGTGGGCTGGAAAAGTCAAATAAGCAGCCTGAATATTTATTTTATGTGGACCCAGCCAATCCCTGAGGGAGGGTGCCCAGTAGGTGGTTGTTACATAGCTTGAGGCTTAGAGCAGAGAGGTTCTTGTTCATGAGGAGCAGATCCCAGCCTGAAGGGCTCCTGCCCTTCTGGGCAGTCCAACTGTGATTCTTCACTTACTCATCGAGGTCCCAGCTGCATTATCTGGGGGGCCTATTCTACTGAACTTTGTGGAGCTGGTTAAGTGATTTCTTTTTAGAGATCTGATCTGGAGAGTTCAGAGTGTTAGAAATATTTGGCTAATATTGGAAGGAGGATCCAACTATCCAAGGACATTTGTGAGTACAGACCAGTGTGTGATATTAGTGTCCTGCTGCTACCCCTCTATAATCAGTGTCACCCTGTAGACATTCCTTATGGTGTCCCTGTGTAGCCCAGTCCATCATAGTGTGAGGAAGTGAGAAGTATCCTCAAGTTGTTACTTTGCCCTAAGGGAGTATCCCACAGCTACCGTACACCCATCCAAGTTCAAGTTTAATAAAGCATCAGAAAAAGGATACCCCTAGATTAATTATTGAGCCAGAAGATTGAAAGAAACTGTGTGGTTGGCTGCTATTACACTAACTGGGGAACGAGCCTTGGAATAAAATCAGTGGGCCCTTTATGGGGTGAGCACTACATTACACAAAGCCTCAGGTTTACATTGTGCAACATTACAATCTCAGGCACAATGCAGACCAGCCATTGGCATCCTAACAACCTTTGACATCATTGATTAATAAACATTGGGCATCTGCATAGCTTCCTTGTTTGACATCCCTTCTGCCCCTCTCTGGTGCACTGGTGTCATATTAGTTTTGTGAGGGGGAGAAAATTAGGGAGAAGAAATGCTGGAATACTAGTCAGTACCAGTGTATTTCTTTCATAAGACTATATTGCCTCCAATTCTGGTTGCCCTTTGTGTGTGGATGCCACTGCAATATGTACAAATTTTAGTTTAGTTTTTATATTTTAGAATGGAATGCATTAAGATTGTGCATAATTTTAAAGGGTACCTTGACTGGAAAAAGGTTGAGAAACACTAATCTACACTATACAATGTCCAACTCCCTCCCTGGAACATACACATCTAAAGGGTGCCCAGGGCTATGTTTTTTTCAGTTATTATCAGCAGCTATGCTATGAGGATGGACTGAGGATATGCACACATTTCAAATTAAAAAATAATATTTCAGCAATACTAATACTTTTTCTGTTAGTAAATAATTATTTTATTGATACTTAATGCAATTAACATGACTTTGTATCCCTTTAAAAGTTTTTAAGCATGCAAAAAATTTAAAAAAAAAACCTCTTGCCATGGTTCAATTTCCACTTTAATTCAGTTCAAATGCAGAAAATGTTTTGTGTTCCTAAATGTAAAAGAGAAATTGATGTGTTCTGTATGATACATACATATCATTCGCTTGCAGAGACATTACGACCCCGCATATAACCCCTACAGAGATACATACATTAGCTCAACATGTATCTGCTTAGCTTTACAAAGTGGCCAAATTAAACCAACTGAGTTAAATAATGAACCCATACTGTGTATAAGTCTGGTGGTGACCTGAAACATTAAGACAGCTTTGACCACATGCATAAAATCAGCACTGACCACATACATTAGCTCAGCAATAAATCTCATGTTCATCGGAGGACTAGGTCTTGTACAGGGCAGCCCACAACTGACCCCATACATTAGGCCAGTGGTGACCACAAGCATTAGCTGAGGTCCCATGGAATACATTAGGCCATATGTGACCGTACATCACAGTGGTGACTGCTTCCATTAACCTAATATCAACCACAAACAGTACCCCACTGCTGGCCACATCTATTAACCTGGCCATGACCACATAGATAAGACTGGGAATGACCACAGACATTAACAGAGGAGGAGCGACCACATGCATTAGGCCAGCAGTGACAAAACCATCAATTGAGCAGCGATCACACAAACATGATGAGCGGAAACTACACCAGATAAGGTTTGTGAATACAAATATAATTTAACTCACAACAAATATCCATTCAACAATCAAATGAAAATAAAATGTATGTAAAATGTTTCTTTTTCTGCTTTGGATAGAGTATAGAAAGGGTAAAAAAAAAGGCTTGGTTATTTTTTTTGTTTCGGTGTCCCATTGCAGGGATTTCCTTTCACTTTCTGCCCTAGAGACACAACAGGAAGCTAAATCATCTCCCTGAAGTAAGGGCAAACTTTTAATTATACAGTTGTAATCAGAACAATTATTCCTGTTATTAGGCAGGTACAGCTAGCTAGTCTGTCACTAGGTAGCTCTGTTCCAGAATAGTGGCTAGTTACAGAAAGCATCATCCGGTGCTAGGCCCCTTTTAGTTAGAGCCCTCCTGTAGTGATGTTATGGGTGAGTCAGTACCCCCCATATAAGCCAGGTTGGGAGGAGCCATAGTGCAGTTGGGGCATGGGAGCCAAACACCACACATCAATACAGATGAAACCAGCACATGGAAGCCCTAGACAGGACTGGAGGCTTGGGAGAGGTAGACCTGCACCCAGGAGAGCCGGCTGTAGACTTGCTGACCCATATGGAGGTGGGGGGCTAGGGCTGTGAAAGGCCTTTTAGGCCTTGCCTAGAGTTCCCTGAGTGAGGCTGCCCCCTGAAAGGTGTCGGGAGAGGTGTACCCAGGAAGGCGGT